AACACGACTCAATCTGTTTATATATATAGATAAAATATATTCTCTTTATTTCTTTACTTTATAATATAATACAATAATAAATAATTTTATTATATCAAATAGAAATAAAACGAACCTTGTCGGTGAGATCGTAATCCTTCAGTAGACACAGAGATACCATGGTGGCAGTTTGGTTGCCGGCCTTCATGTACTTAATGAGCTTCTGTATATGCCAGAACTCGGAAGGTACTTCGAGATGATCTTCTTGGCGATATCTGGGCTCTTCTTCGCTCTCCGACTCCGGCTCGTCGTCCGAACTTTCCTCTTCGGCTTTTTCGCTGATAACACGCAGTCGAGGTCCATAAGGTTCGCCGGTGAGTACATTTATCTGTGGTTTTGTAGCCTCAGGTTCAGTCGTCTCTGCGATTTCTGGCTCTGATCTACAGAAACGAAATTAGTAAGCTCGCTTAATTCTGTATTTTGAAAGTTTTATCTATTAGAAACTACATATTATAGATCTCTTTTTCTCTTTAAATTTTTAGAATGCATAGTGACTCTCTAGATTAATCTCAAATTTGAAATATGAAAATATTTCATCTATAACATTTTTTATAATTTTATTATAACTTTCTCTGACGAGTTCTCTCTCTTGGAGGGAATTTCTTTTTTGATTGGGAAACAATTTTCTTTTTATAGATGAAAATACGAATTTGCTTACAAAGACATCGCTAAAATTTATAAACATTGAAAAAATGTAATCGCCAAATGTAAAAACATTAAAATCTGTAAATAATAAGCGATCAAATTCGGGATTAAAAATTTTAGGCGTGGAAGAATCAACATGCTAAATTCATCAAAGAAATTTAAATCGGCGAGTAAATTTTTTCGTCGAATATAAAATTATCTCCAAAAAGAGCTTTTGTAGTATATATCACTTTGATATTGGAATTTGAGCTGTGAAGCCATGTAACCGCCCATCATGAAGAGAATGGCCATTTTCAAGAAAATTTCTCGAACATCAAAGTTCCATTAATCCTCTTCGAAAGAATCGTCAGATATTTCCAGTATAATATCGAGTTTAAAAAAGTAAATTTTCAGAATCTGGTTTTGATGCGGTTCGATAAAATATCTTGATAAAGGTAAAGAGAAATGCGCGAAGAGAAAAAGTATTGCATATTCAATACTTATTAAATACGAGTTGAACAGCGCGGGCGTACACACACACACACACACACACATACACACAGAACAAAGCGGTTGTTGATTATTAACGAAGAGCTTGTTCCTCCCTACTCCACATTCTCCACCTGATTCTACCTAGTAATTGAATAGATTTGTGTGCGATATATTTTATTATATTTTCGAATTGTATCATTTATAATTAATCATATAAATTAATAATATATATAATAATCCTCTTTCTATATGTATATGATAAATAAACAATAGCACATTTATACAAAAGCGAAACTAAACCAGTGTGAAATCGTGTGATTCGTTTCTGCATAAATTCGTTTGTGTCAATTTACTTACTCAACATGATTCATCTCCTGTGGCACAATCTCTTTCTTCTTCTTCGGAGGCATTTTTTATACAGCAAACATAAAGTTTGCAGTAAATTTAAAGAACAGCAAAAAGAAACCTTTTTCGAGAAGTATTCGTTTTTGAGCTCGAGACACGTTTGACAATCTCCACGCTGGAATAGAGTAACAGTATCGATCAAACAATTATAGCTAATTTCGCTTGAAATCCATTGCCTTGCCCGAACGAAAACTTGCGAATAAAACATTGATTGCATTTTTTTTTTTTTTTGAAATACCGATATTTATGCGATATTATGCGCCTGAAGTAAGCCATTTTTGAACACGTCAATTTTCATTTGGTGGACATTGATGGACGATATCTCTTCACAAAATTCTCAGTCATTTTTGAAAACATATCGCATAGAAACTTATCAACACGTTTTGTAAAAACGGATATCATAAAAATGTTACGCAAATTATTGGTACCCCTATATGTTGAAAGCGCTTCGTAAAATTATGTCCACCCTCTTCAAAAGTTCATTTGAATTTTTCAAAAGTTTATTCGAACGCGTGATATCGACAACAACACTGATTCGGGGAAGAAGACACTTTAATGGAATAAAATATGGAAACACCTCGTCAAATCTCGTATTCGTCGAAAAAATTCATTTTTAGCGAAACGATATAGCGATTTCCCTGAAAACATGCATCAGCTGTGAAAAGAGATGGAAAAGCTATGAAAAAGAGATTCTGCACAACATAAACAAATGTTTACCGTACACATATACGCTTCACCATTCGCCGTTATTTTATTGTTGCTGTCGTTGAGTGTCTGGCTTTGCATATGCAGATGGTGTTTCGGTTACAACCTGAAAGACAGAGAAGTAATTTACGAATATTTACGTACTATATCCCTCTCGCTCTCTCTCTCTCTCTCTCATTTTCTCGTCAAAATGTATATATCTTAAAATATTGATTTTTTTACAGATCGTTCATTGCCTGGTAGTTTACTTTATCATCATCACACTGCTCAACGTGTTATTTTTAGGACACATAAAATTCTTTTGCGATTATCCCGCGGAAATGAAGAATAATTAAGTATATTGAAAATACTTAATATTTTTACGGTTATTTCTTGTAGTATAAAATGTCGTACAGTCTTTACCTACTTTATCGTTCGAAACTATTGTTTTAATTTAATTTGCAGCGACTAGATGGCATTACTTGTCTTGTTTTGAACTGAAAGTGCGCGAAAGAGCATTATTTAGCTGTGTCGTCCAGAATCGATAGTGCTCGGGTTAATCAGTGTAAATTTACAACTAAGTTAATGATTTTTTGTGATATCTTCTAGTGAGTAAAGTATCTCGTTTGGTGGATTAAAAACATTTGTAGTTAAGGGAATTAAAGAAGATAACATGATTAATTTTTAACCTTAACCCTAACCTAAAATCAGTGCTAATGCGCAATAACATTTATATCATAATTTTTGAATTTGTGGAATTGCCGTAACAAGAGAAAAACTTTTATTATTTTTCTGACTTTTTGTATTAATTTTAGTAGCTACGTATATTAAATTTTTATATATATGTATATATTTAATTCTTAGTGTTCTTAGTTTTTGTTACATATCTGCTGTATATTTTACCCAAAATGATTTTAAAAAAAAACTGGATTCCAATTTTATATGAGACAGTCATAAATATGAAAATATAATTGCTAACATTTCTTTTTGCAGAAATGAGTCTTCTACGACATGCTCAATTCGTCAGCCGTACAATTTTTGTACAGAACAACGACGTGGACAAGGCATGTCGCATATTAAATCGCATATTATCCAAAGAGGACATATTTGGCCAATACAGACGTACCAGGTACTACGAGAAACCGACCTACGTCAGACGCAGGGTCAATTTTGAAAAGTGTAAAGCGATTTACAACGAGGACATGGACAGGAAGATCACGTTTCTTCTACGAAAAAATAGAGTGGACCCTTTTCCTGGTGCATCGTAAGATTATAAATTTTAGTTTCAATTGTACAGTTGCAAAGTTATCCACAAGCTTATCCACATGATTTATTTATGAGTGTCGGTATCAACACACAGAAAAATATAGAAAATATGCTATCGCAACAATACTGTTATTATTTCTTGTTTCTGTTTTATTGGCACATTTGATATAAAAATATCCATTCTTTTTTCTAACTACAGAATCGCTAATATTACTTTTAGTGCAATATTTAATGACAGATTTTGAAATATATTTCCATATATGAAGGGGTGGATATAAATCAATTAGCGTATATTGCATTGAGAAAATGAAGAATTAATAAGTAATGCGCGAGGTGATATAGATCAACAACACAACGGTTCAAACGCTAATGCAGCGTCAAGGAGCGAAATAAAAAATCATCCTGACGGACAGAAACGCATTTTCCCGTTATCTCGCGCCATAAGTAACTCGAGAAAGTCAGCCTGCGCAAAAAGCTCGCTTCTCTCTTCCTTTTTATTCCCATCCCTCTTTCGGGAAGCGACTTTCATCATCTTTCTTTCGCGAGAGAGGTGAGAAAAGACAAAACGGTTGGTCGGTCGGTTTTCCTGGCAACGACTCCGCCAACTTGGCGAAAATTGAATAGATAGTGGTGTCCCCGGCCATGCCAAGTTTTCTAGCGAAGGTTGTCGGTGAGAGAAAGAGAGAGAGGGAGAGTATAAAGAGCGAGAAAGAGAAAAGAACCGCGCTCGCGGTCGTTTCTGTATTCTCCATTTGGCGATAAAGCGAACGACGATGCTGTATTAGAGTAAAATAAGTAAGTTCTGTTCGCGCTCGCAACTCGATTTTCAAAATCGTTCTCGTAGCGAAAAGTGTTTGGCGAAACATAACGTCCCGCTAGGATGTTAGCGCGAACCGAACACTCAAAAAAATGTCTTGCTGATATAGGTAGATTTCTAGGTGTCACAACAAAAATTTATCGCTATTTTTTGTATCTGTTAGAATATTGTCTGTTACCAATTTTCGAAAAATTATATCGCGTTATATTGGCGCTTGAATTAAATCCCATGATATATTTTGGACAAATATATTTAATATGAAATATTCTAATTATATATTTCTCATATTTGAATTTATTTATTTTTTGAATTGTTTATCTTTCATTTTCTCATAAAAATGTTTGTATGGATCTAGTTAATTTCCAAAAATTAAAAGTGGAAATAAAAGCAGATGTTAAAATAAATAGAGAAAAAGAGAGAGAGAAACTTTTATTAATTTGTAATATTGTGCAATTGCAATCCAGAAGAGTGATTTAATTAATAAATCTATTAATAATCATTTCAAATACAGACAAAAGAGAATGCTATTAGTATCAGGAATGTGATTCATCCAAAATATGTCAAACTGCCTACTGCCTCATATAATATCTCATAAAATATGTAAATATTAGTCATAATGAATAGATTGTCCCCGAAAGGATTAAATGATTATAAATCTCGAGAAGTCGACGCGGCCAAAGGGACACGTTCCTTAATGCGCTCGACAAGTCGTATAATCCGCAATTTATTCGATCTCAGTCGTCATAAATCCGACCTAACGCGGTACGTTATTCTCGTAACTAGGAGTGGCAAACGGATCTCATTTCAGCCATCGGAACCGCACTGTCGTCGCGCCGCGAGAAGAGAAGAGAACGGCAGAGGGTAGACGGGACACGACCGTCGTCTCGCTTGAGAAGGGGTGGTTTGGCTTAACTCCCGGGAATCTGGATCCGAAACTATCCGACCAACTACTCGCAAGACAGTTTGCCCAGAACCGGATTTCTCAGTTCCCGGGGGATGCCACCCTGCCTATGGCCCCTCGGTCTTCTTCCCTTCGATCCTCTACCACCATTCTCGTCTTCCTCTTCCTCCTCCTCCTCCTCCTTCCCCCTTTTAAACCATCTCGATTTGAAACTCCGCGTATGCCTTCCCCGCCGACCGAATGACATGATGGCTCCATTATTGCGCAAGTGCTTTTGGATATTACGTTGTGTGGAGAGATCGGATTTCGAGCTTCGAGCGTGCTGGTAGAAAACAGTCGAAATGAATGGAGATCGTATAAAAAAAAAAGAGATTTATTTACTCGATAGAGATTTTTCTTCACAAAAGCTCAACCGTAATAAAATTGCTAACGTTGGATTTTTACGCGATTAAAAGTCGAATTAAATATTTGTCAAAGTAAATCTATCTTGAATTTATTGGAAAATGTGATTTTTATTTATCTGCGTAATTTTATTTTATTTATTTTAAATAAAACAATCGTGCAAAAAGTTGAGCGAGAGCCATCGATCCGTCGAAAAATACTTACATAAATATTATCATCGATCATCGTATTTTCTACATCAGTCATACATATATGCCGGGTTAACGATAAAAGTGCACAATCGAGAGATGTGCAGATCTGTGAAATTTTTGTTTAAACATCACTCCGACGCTTGGTCTCACTTATCAAAACGTTCGAAGTGGATGCGAAATTATGTCGGGTCTGTCTTTAAACAGAAACTCGAGGATCGCTTTCCCGCGAGACGGATGCGTCGAGTTTCAGAGTCGCATCGAAAATTTCGGATTTAAGAGTTTGCCTTGTCAAGTTCGCGAACGAGCTGCGCTTATCGCAAACTTTATTCACCGACACCGACTTATTCTCTCACTTTAAAAATCGATACCAAGTACCTCTTGAATTCGATTACCATTTGAGAAGGAGAAGCGATACATTATATTTCTAAGATTATGTACAAGTCTGCGGACTTGTATTATGATATATGAGAAATCCAATTGCATTTACATTTACGAGATATACGTTATGTGAGAAACCCAATATCATATGGGAAATCCAATATCATTTGTGTTTGCTTTGGTTTTATGATAAAATATAATTATATCATTAATAATATAGCGTTATATTTTCCGTACAATATATAATTAGCTTGCGTTATGCAAAATCGTGAGAATTAAAGTAAACGATAACGGATTACAAATGGACAATCTTTTGCCTAAGCGGTTTAACGTGTGGAAGAGAAAGCTTACTTTTCTAAAAAAGAAAAAAAAATTATAGAGAGTGCTTTTTCGCGGTTTTGTCACTCCATTACGAGAACCTCCGGAAACCGCGGGATTTATCCATCGAGATCTCACCTTGCGCGGAATTAACCGTCCTTTGCCCCCCTTCCCCCCCCCCTTCGGGCCTCTGAGAAAAAGTTTGGAAGAGGTGGAATTAGCGGGAATTTTATAGCCATGGTCATAAAGCACAGATTCATGTACGCGCGCGAATGCGCTGATCTCTTCCCGATTTTGCCTTTTATTCCCTTCTCCCCCTCTTCCCTTTCTGTTCATCCCCCGCGCGCACAACTCGTCAGCATCTCGTTTCTCTCTGATTTTCCACGTTCAACAGAATCTATTTAACTCGGTCGTCGCGTTCATCGTCGCAGACCGCTAAAGACAAATTTGCTGCATAACATAATATTGACTTAGCGTCCTGAGCAGTTCAAGATACTAAATTGATAAACAGTACCTCTCGGTAAATACGCGAGATCCAAAATATATATCTCGATTGTGTTCCACACACGCGAAATATATTATATTCGATACTTGACTCATCTTCGATTTCTCTCTCTTTCACTCTATTTGTCTCTCTTCAATCCTTTGTGATCTCGAAAAGGAAATTTACGAAATCAAAAGACGATGTCTCAAAGCTGAAATGAAACGTTAAATTCGAAACTTGTAATTTAGTCAATCTTAAACGCGATTGATTGCCACGAAATATGTATGTATGCATTAACGGGGAGTAATGGACTCTCGCCCGTTCAATTTTGTATCCGGTCGCGATATCAAGTACCATCCCGCATCAACGAATAATCCCTAAATCGAACAGGAAACTGACGTTGATCGGGGTTTCGGCTGAGATAACTGACGTAACTCCCCCGTCGCGCAACACGAGGCTCCTTGTATTCCCATCGCGTTAAATGCGTTCGTCCAACTCGGAAAATTCTCTCGATTTAACGGAAAATCCGACGTCGAACGTATAATCTTGCGCTAACGAAATTAAGAAGAACGTCAGCCAATGTATTCGATTTATCGATGGAGAGACAGCGATCGATTCGTTCAATATTTCTCCTACGAGTCCTTCGAGGACGTCGTTCGTTGTAGGACGATTACTCGGGGACCCCGAGGTGGCCGTTCATGAATAGCCGAGTATACAAAAGCGGCACAGAAACGGCCGTGTCCCCTCGTTGCATATTGCAAGGGAAGCCTCAAAATTACTTTCGGACTCGGTCGCTAGTTAATGCGCAGTTCTCTTTCTCTCTCTCTTTTTTCGAGGCTTTAAATATTCCAATTGGCGAAGTTCAGGTCGCCGGTCGCACCGATCACAGGTCGCCGACGATAGGTGCATCGAGAAAGCTAAATGAGCCGCGACGTAATTTGGTCCCCAAAGTTTTACTACGCGTCCAAATCCCGCTGTCACGTCGCCGAACTGTCACATTGACGGTTTAACTCTCGCTAAAACTCGCCCTTTCTCAGCCAAAGGGCTGTCCGCTCTATCAAAAGGTAGACGAGCTACTGAATGCGATCTAGCTAAGAGACAAATCTTTTGTTGCTATATATTTTCATTCTATTTTATTCTTATACGAGGGTATTGTTTCCCGATTTGTTTTTGTTATTGTTTTCTGACTTTCAGACTGAAATTTTTCTTTCATGTTTATCTCGCCTGAGAAAAACTGTGTCACTTAAAATAAATAATACGAGAAGAACCATGTTTACTTTTCATGATAATTGTAACGATTATTTCTTAGAAAAAAAAAAAAAAAAGGAAAATACGCAGAGAAACATAAAAAGCACGTAGCCGAACCTCTATTGACATCGATCACGTCCGTTATCGAGCTGATCGAAATAAAGCAACGAATTCACATTCAGTTAACTGTGCGGTGGGAATATGGGTCTTGTTGTACATGAAAAAAAGCCACGTCAGTTATTTCAACGTCCGTCGAGCGAGAAATCGATGTTAAAGACATTACGTTGTCGTCGACGTCGTCGTCGCCGTATATGGCGGTCGCAGCCACTTGAAAATCGACAAAAAGCAACGAAAAGGAAGAGCTCGCGATCGAGACGAGAAAAGAGGAGCGTTTCGCGTGAGTTGAGAGGCGATCGATGAATATGGAACGGAAGTAAAAAAAATGCGTTCACGCGCGAAAATAAAGACTCGCGAAAAAATACTCGGCGAACGACTCTCGTCATATATATATTAAATATACATGTATATGTGTATGGTCAAAACACACGCGCGAATTTCTACGAATCAGGTATTGATGTAAATTCAAAAAAAATTGCATGCTAATACTTGCAAATGACTTGCAGATGATACCGCAAAGGTATCAGGCCACTGATAAAAGTTAAACAGCCAGTGCGCGCGGGAGTGAATGGCAAAGTGGTATTACAATAACTTTTGTATTCCGGCCAAGTTTGCGTACAATGGCGAACGATATGCGATTATACGATGATTTTCGTCTTCTCTTTTTGAACAATATGTGTTAATACGCAAATATTGGTTCGTGCAGTGCGACACGTTTTATCGAATCGTACGTTGCATCGGCCCGTATTGTCAAGTTTGCAATATTCCAAGCTATGGAGATACCGATGTAATCGACAAGATAAAAAATAAAAGAAAAATATATGTGTGTTTATTAAAACAACATTCATTTTTTTTATTTTTTTTTTTAATATCTTAATTGAATGACCAATTTGAATTTTCCTCCTTTATTTGAATTTTATTCGCTAGGTATCAATTTATTTTACATTATAGTTCTATAAATGTTTTATGAAAGAAATTTTTTTCTCAAAAATTTGAGATCTATTTTTCTTATTATTATTCTCTTGTACGTTTTAATTTTCAAGCTAAACATTTTGATTATGATTGAAAATATTGGAGAATTAATCACTTTTAGTGATTAATTCGACCGCCCCTCGATATAGTAACAATGCGTTTCTCGCCCGCAAAGACATTCCGCGACCTCGTAAGCTTTCATCCTTTTTATCCTTGCTCCATTTTTGCTATGACAACCCTTTCCGACTATGCTTCATCGACGTGCGTCACTCGGCGTCTGCCGTCCCGGCGTCGTCCTTTTATTTACTCATTTTTCCCCTCTCCACTCACTCACTCTCTCTCTCTCTCTCTCTCTCTCTCTCTCTCTCGCTCGCTCGCTCTCTTTGACCCTTGAGAATGGTTCGACTACGCGGACCGCTTCATTTGCATGGATTTCAATCTCAAAGATCGTGGATCTGCGAGTATCCTTTCCGCGTAGACGTCATCGTTATCCCTTTCTAGTCTGAATTAATGATCTGGACCATACAGCATTCGTCGAATATTTTTGAATAATTTTTAAATTTCTTACTCCGTTGTTACTTTCAATAATTTACGCGACGATATTTTTCACTTAAACACATTATTTCTTGTCAATTACGAATAGACCGCGCACGTATAGTAGTCAATATCTCTTTGATAAATAGTTTTGTAATACTTTAATACAAATTGTGTGTGTGTGTGTGTATATACAATTTCGATTATATAATCATAATTTTAATGAGACTCGAGTTTTTTCGAAGCAACAATCGTTTCTTTTCCGCGGATATTCAAGAATATGTAACGAAAATATACAGATATTTTATGGTACGATTTGTACGACAATTATAAAAGCAAGGTAATATACGTCAAGCAGACCCGCTTTCGGCGAAATAGCAAAGCGAGAACGGAGCAGCTTTTTACCGTTTCGTTCATAGACGGGAGTTTCTACGAATGGCGCCGGCAAAGTTGGGTAAACTCACCATACGTACTGGCAACGCTAAGAAACTTTTAATGAAAATCGAGCAAGACTCTTTTCTATCCTGCGATCTTCCGTTCTGGGGAATGGATTCGAGAATGGTTTTCCGAAATTCTATCTATCTCGGATGTTGCACGCGACACGGACGTGTACAAAATGGCACGTAAATTTGCTGGTTCCTTTTATTTCCTATTTATTTTCTTATGTACATATTAGACTCGCGGGTATCGATTTTCATTTACAAAAATAACGAAAAATTAATTCAATATGAGTAGAATCGCAATCCCTGATACGAGAATATTTTCTTTACGATTAAAAGTTTAGCTGTAATCTTGAAATTTCAAATTAAACAGGTTGCTCTAAAAATTCATGATTTTTTTTCTATTTCAATTCTAAAATTTGTTCATATATATTTGCGCTTTATTATAAATATATGAATTCATTAAACATTATCATATTTACAATTATAAACCATAGAAAGACAATATATATAGTTTCATGTGAAGTCTGTTGCAAAAAGCGCGCGAAACATCACGCGTTCTCGCTCTTTCTCTCTCTCTCTCTCTCTCTCTCTTTTTAATTCTCTTTTCGTCTGCTGTCGCGGCGACTTTGACACGCGCATACGTAAGAATTCGATTAATAAAATCTCACGCCAGTTGAACAAGCGCTATAACGACGTCGGCGCCAGCAGTTGCGACGAAGGTGCATGATGACGATGACGCGAGAGGAGACTCGCCCGAGATCGCGATCTGGGCGCGCGCGAGAAAGAGAGAAAGAAAGAGGGACGGATTCGCGAGACCGGTGGCGTGAGCGATCGACGCATGCGCGCTGCCGCCTTCGAAACTCGGCGCGCATTCTCTCCGGCGGCGCGAGTCGCGAGTCAGTCAGTGGTGCACGGTAGGTCGCGTGGTGTGTACATGTTCAACGAATCGCGTCGAGAAGGGCCACGAAAATAGAGAGAGAAACCGAGCGAGTAAAAGGGCACTCAGTCGCGTTATATACTTCGGTTACACACTTTCTACCCTTTCTCTCTCTCTCGTTTGCTTCATCGTTGGTGCGACTGTCGGTTACGAAGGACAGGACACATTTTTTTTTTCTCTCGTTCGGCGACGATCGACTACTTGACTTCGTATACACGACGGCGGCGAGATTCGACCAACGAGAGCGGGCTAGAATATGAAAACATCTATGGAGAATCTGTTGTCCTGGGTCGCGCTGTTCATGACCGCCCTGTATTCCCGTGAGTATTGTCTAAAGCTTTGTCGAGTTATCGTCGCCGACCCGGCATCTTGATGTCGGTTTAACGCACAGCGATATATTCATTCTAGTCTTCCGCATTTACTTACTTCGTTTTCTGCTCATCTTTACGGACTTGAAAATGTATATTTATTTCTTAAATTCATATTTATAGTACATTCATTTCTTATCAAGCACAGAAAATGTAAGTAAGTTGTGCGGATTTATATATATATATATGTTACACGAGAGGAGCGGGCTAGAATATGAAAACATCTATGGAGAATCTGTTGTCCTGGGTCGCGCTGTTCATGACCGCCCTGTATTCCCGTGAGTATTGTCTAAAGCTTTGTCGAGTTATCGTCGCCGACCCGGCATCTTGATGTCGGTTTAACGCACAGCGATATATTCATTCTAGTCTTCCGCATTTACTTACTTCGTTTTCTGCTCATCTTTACGGACTTGAAAATGTATATTTATTTCTTAAATTCATATTTATAGTACATTCATTTCTTATCAAGCACAGAAAATGTAAGTAAGTTGTGCGGATTTATATATATATATATGTTACGATTCTCGTGCATTTTTGAATTGGACCACGTTGGCAACGCCAACTTCATAGCGAGCTGAATCTTAACTTGAGAACGCTATATTTAAAATATATTTAAAGTGTATATTAAAATATTGTATTTATATTTTTTACTTTTTTGTAACTTTTTTTGATCTTGGGATATAAATTTACCAACGATTAATCTTTCCTCGATTATCGTTTTATATTTACATAAAAAAATTCGCGCTTTCTCGAATCTTTCGACCTATTTCTCGCTTTTTCACTTATCGCTGTAGGTTTCCGCATGCGATCGCTCTTTCTCCTTGACGTAACTGTTATTGTCGTCACGTGTATCGCTTTCCTGCTATGACATTCATTATGCCGTGATAGCACATCCGAAATGCGTGAAAGTGACCGGCTTAAAGGGATGAGGAATGCATTTCCGGAAAGACACAATAGACGTTCTATCATATGAATTATGTCATATGACGCGTGATTATTTAATCGCAGGTTAATCAGATACATGACGTTACGCGGAAAAAGAACGCGCGATATGATGACTATCATTGATGACGAATCACACGCATACAATTCTGCATATTTCTGCAAAAATTGCACTATCACCACGTTCGATATTTATATCCAAGTACTCGACCGCTAAATTCGTTTTTAATTCTATGTCAGCAATCCTCGCAGTAGATCAATGAAATGCATATAAGTATAAATAGATAGTATATAAATCTGTAAAAATAATAATATTATGACTATAGTCGTCTCAATTTAATGCTAACGCGTGTAGTTCAACACAAACACGAGAATTATAGCGATTATTATTCTTTTCAATTTGCTTACGTCACTTTTGGAATGAATTTAATAAGTGCGCGCGACACTCGGTCTCTTTCGCGAAACGTAGGTCAAGGACGCAGCTTCAAGTGCATAACGGTGGAGGAGCAGGAAAAGGAGGGGGGGGGGGGGGATCGACGGCGTAGAGATTAAAGCGGGACGCGCACGACACGATGTCTCCGTTGCTTAAAATTTGTAATAAGAAAAAAAGCGGGAGAGACGAGGATGCTGGAGATAGAAACATTTCGTATATACGATAGCTTTATGACGGCTTATGTTCGGTTTGGCGAGATTATTTTGACGTCAGTAAACGTCAGAAATTCGCGCGAAAACATTTCGTCGATGATGTCAAGTTTCAATGAAATTAGAATTTGAAAGGAAAGATAACTTGAGGCTGTTATGTGTATTTTAATTTAAGAATAATAAAATTCTCACACATATTTTTCGCTATCTTAGTCGCGTCTCTTTTCGCATATCTTTCAATCGTCAAACGAGACTTCAAATTATGCTTGAAATTAATCTCGGACGAAATTAACTTTGTCGGAGCGATTCCTCGCTCCTGCGAGGAACAAACGATCAGTTAAACTACGGTTAAAGTTAACGGCGACGGTGAGAACGGTCGTAAAAAAAAAAAAAGATGAGAGAAAATTTCGCGCGATGGAAAATGTCTCGTTGGAGCTTAATTCAGCCTCGTTTGGCGTGCCGTTGTGCGTAATTAGCCTCGCTGTAAAATTGGGACGTTTAATTAGAGCCGGGGATTGATACTAGCGTGCAAGCAAAAATTCTCAAAGTATCGACCAAGTTTTATCTAATTAGGTCGCAGAGAGAGAGAGAGAGAGAGAGACAAGTTCGCTCGCGTATCCTATTCGCCGTATCTTTGAACGGCGACGTGACGTACCGAAATTATCGAAGGGGTTAGATAACCTGGTATTAGAACAAAGGAAGCTTTTCCGACAATTAAGTCTCTCCAACTCTCGCCTCACATTTCTCTCATTCCGGACCGTTTATTTCGATAGCAACGCGAATCGATTTTTTTTTTTTTTTCTCCTTTTTTTGACAGCTCATTAATCTGTCAGTGTCGATATGTGAACAAAAAATTCACTCGGTGATTAAAAAGAATCTCACCATAAAATTCTTTTGTCGAATGGATCGCAAAAATTTTGTGAAATATTGATCATATAAAATGAAAACGCGCGTTGATCCTTTTTTTCCTCGCGTCAGATATTATCTCGACGACAAGAGAGAGATAACGTTCTGTCAAAATTATTTAAGATCATATTTCCAAATAAAGACGATTTAAATAACTGGATAAAATATTCAAAATTTGCTGGTTATTCGGCCAAAATATAATCGACATATTTTCGATACGTGTCGGAATTCAAAATATCAGATTAATGCTACAACGATTACGAGAAAATAATCGCATTCATTAAGAACCAGTTTGATGACATCTTTGAAATATATAAACGCGAATGAAACGTGCTCTCTTACGTCTAAAGTTACATCGAGCATTAAATTTAAAAAATCGCTCCATGTGTTTAAATTTTAAATGATGAATTGAAAATAGTTCAACGTGCATGTTAAATATGTCTATCTTGAAATAAACGGTTGACACGTGTACGCGAGACAACTCGATCTAAATTGAGCGTCCCTAGCACACGCGTTTGGAATTAGCGAGTTCCAAATTTAAAGTCGCTTTCGAAGGCAGAAGCGTGAGCTTAGAATACTACACACACGATTGATCTCCTATGTGTTGCGACATTTCTGCAAATTGTGTTTACAACGTGTCTAATCGTCTTGAATGTTGGAGAGGAGCGATGATGAGGAAAATCGCCGCCGGCCTTGAATTCACATACGGGCCATCTATTAGTTCTGTGCATCTCGTGACGTACGCGAAAACGGATAAACAAGATGTCTATATCGCTCCAAGTCATTTAATCGCGACGCGTAGAATTGTGAATATTAATCGCGCATCGATGCTCCGAATTGCCAGTAGGCTAATTCAATTATATCGTACCTATTATCATATCGTACGTATACAATACTATAATACCTAATGGGATTAACGTAACGCTCCGCGATATGACGTCGGTTTCGAATAAATAAATTCCCAGACGCAATTTTTCGAGCATCGGATTACATCATCATTCTCGAGTCGTTAACGCCGTATATATATGAACGTCATTAGATAATTGACTTGTTTACCGAATTCATTCATCCTCATCTGTCATATATCTCCTCTGTCGTGTCCCCATCTCAGTTATTAATTTAATATACATAAATCTCACGTCCACAGTACGATTTTTTACATTTCAATATGTATTGAAGTGAAATCAATCCAATTAATAATTAAACCTCGATATGATTTAATGCGAATAAATTTTTGCGAGGCGGGGAGGAGGAGAGAAGCGAACGGGTGGTTCGTATGACGATTATTCTAGATCGATCCTTTTGCGACGTGCGAGACACTCCTCTTTCTCTCTTGCTATACCGAAATAGCAACGACGGCGCTCGGTCGCGCGACCACGTGGGTTACTCGCTCCGTTACATCGTACGAGATGACGTAGCGAGCGACGATTGGCCGAGCGGATGGGCGTGAGTCTCGCCTCACCTTTAATGACACACGCTCGCACTCGCTCCGTGTGCGTGCGCGTCACGCCATATCACGCCACACGAAAAAAACATTCACGACAACATCTCACCGAGGCCGTTTTTCCTCGACGAACGAGCGAGAGAGCGGAGAAACTTACGGACGGATGTAAGGAAGAGAGAGAGAGAGAGAGAGAGAAAGGGAAAAAAGAAGGAGAAGAAATATAATATTAGGTAATAATTTTGTTCAATATTATTAATAAATATTATTAAATGTTATTAATATTATTTATGTAATTTCATTTTAAGAGAGAAGGACAGATAGAAAGAGAGAGAGAAAGAAAGAAAGAAGGAGAAAAGGGAAAGAGCAGCCGGTTCTTTCACGCGCGCGCGACGCATTCCACGCGAAGTTTAGCTCCACGTAACTACGTGCCGAGGACTTGTTGCGTGGCAAAGAGAGACGCGTCGTCGCGCGACGCAACGAATCATGTGACTCTGACTTTGAATTTACGTATTTAGGTATCTAGCGTCGTGATATTTTCGGTACGTTGAGTCTCTTCGCGACTGTAATAAGTCTGTATATTTTGTCTCGCGCATCCTGTTTCCTCTTTAAACATGGTGGTAATTCTGCGGTTTACTATGTTTACGCCGCCTTGTGTTTTGTCTGAAGATAAGGTAGGAGAGGGAATTTGGATAATAACGAAACGATGTGAAAAAAAAAGAGTAATATGATACATGAAAAAAAAAAGGGACGAAAATAAAGATCGAGTAATAAGAGTGAAGCTATAAATTTAACATAATTATACGGGGTATACCAACCTTAATGCCGAGAAATTCTTCGACTTTTATCATTACTAGACATTTCACGCTAAAACGTGGAAGCATCCGGATGTACCGCAACGGCTTAATATAGTGCGTCGATTAGATTAACGCTGTTCGCAGACATAACATAATATGAACCAGAATCTACTTTATCGTATTACAGCGTGTGTGGACGCGTATCATCCCTTAGCATGGCGTTTTCCAGACATTTTTGATCTGTCAACGCGATCGAAAATATTCACTACACGCTGACAAAGTAAAAACATAAAAATTATTACAGATTATTTTATTCAAGCACGATATAAAGTGAAAAAATTTGGAATGAACAATATAATCGCGATGCAATTAAATTACTTGTGTGTGCGTATAGATATATAAAATATATAATTTATATATTATATTTTTTTATATATTTTATTTATATCATGTCTAGAATATTTTTATTTTTGCTATACATATATACTACAAATAAACTATAAAAATCTTTAAGTAATATGATACATGAAAAAAAAAAAAGGGACGAAAA